AAATGAAATGAAATGAAATGAAATGAAATGAAATGAAATGAAATGAAATGAAATGAAATGAAATGAAATGAAATGAAATGAAATGAAATGAAATGAAATGAAATGAAATGAAATGAAATGAAATGAAATGAAATGAAATGAAATGAAATGAAATGAAATGAAATGAAATGAAATGAAATGAAATGAAATGAAATGAAATGAAATGAAATGAAATGAAATGAAATGAAATGAAATGAAATGAAATGAAATGAAATGAAATGAAATGAAATGAAATGAAATGAAATGAAATGAAATGAAATGAAATGAAATGAAATGAAATGAAATGAAATGAAATGAAATGAAATGAAATGAAATGAAATGAAATGAAATGAAATGAAATGAAATGAAATGAAATGAAATGAAATGAAATGAAATGAAATGAAATGAAATGAAATGAAATGAAATGAAATGAAATGAAATGAAATGAAATGAAATGAAATGAAATGAAATGAAATGAAATGAAATGAAATGAAATGAAATGAAATGAAATGAAATGAAATGAAATGAAATGAAATGAAATGAAATGAAAAATGAAATGAAATGAAAAAAATGAAATGAAATGAAAAATCTAAATACTATACAATCCGATGTGTAACTGACTGGGGGTACAAATTCTAGACCACTTCTAGATGAGCTAGAGACTTGAAATTTTCGGTGGTTGTAGGTCTAGTGCCCAAACCACCCATAAAATTCCAAAAAGTCGCATTTTCAAATTTTAACCCCCCCGAAAATTCGAATTCCCCCCCCATGTTATTCTTATGGGGAATAACATTAAAAATGGCCGACTTTCGTGTTCCCATCTAAACCACTTAGAAACGTGCTAGAGACTTCAAATTTGCGTAGTATTGTAGTAAAAGATCTTACATTACCGGTGGAATATGCAAAAGTCCCATTTTCAAATTTTAACCCACCCAAAAATCCAAAACGGCGGACCTCTGAAAACGAAAAAACACTTTTTTTTCAACCGGATGTAGCTCGAAAACGGTAAGAGCTAGAAAAGATTTGACAGTATATCCAGGAACAGGAATTAAATTTTCTACAAAACCCTCTTAGGCGTTTTCAGAAAATCGCACTCCTTAAGCTTCAAAAAACGCCCTACTTTCAAAATTTTGTAAATTTTTTTCAAATTTTTATCGGTTTTTGCTATGTTTTCGTACCTAAATAATTATTTTTTGCAAATATTATTAATGTTTCGTATTCTCCTTAGTTTACTTTACATTTCACCCTTTACATGTATTTTCGTAACTTTACTCCTTGACCCCCAAAAACTTAATTTTAATGTGAAAATTTGATTGGTTTTTACCGGTTTTACCAGCCCCATGTTATCCTTATGGAGAATAGCTATGTAATTTTAATACTTTGGTATGCTCATCTGATTAGTTTAGAAACGTTCTAAAGACTTTAAATTTTTGTAGTATTGCAGTATGGGATCATCCGTTAATGGTGGAATTTGCAAAAATGCCTTTTAAAAATTTTAACCCCCAAAAAAATCCAAAATGGTAGACGTATAAAAACGAAAAAACACGGTTTTTAATACCGACTATAACTAAAAAACGGTAATAGCTAGCAAAAATTTCAAAGAATCTTCATGAACAGGAATTAAATTTCCTACAAGACACTATTACGCGTTTTTAGAAAATCGCACTCCTTCACCTAAAAAAAACGCCCTACTTTCAAATTTTGGTAAATTTTCTTCAAATTTTTAACGGTTTTTGATAATTTTTCGTACATAAAAAATTTTTTCTTCAAATATTATTAATGTTTCGTACTCTCCTTAGTTTACTTTACATTTCACCCTTCACATGTTTTTTCGTAACTTTACTCCTTGACCCCCAAAACGCGTAGGTCAGTAACGCTGTATAGTCATTTGGTTCTCGCTCTAATTTTTGCTAATGGATTTGGCTACCCATGATTAAGTTTCACTGTCACTTCTTCCTATTTATTGGACTTGTTATTTTGGCGATTTTGCTGCAATTTTCTGTAAGCATGGAATTCTCTTGCGTTGCTGCTGGGTCGTTCCACCAGGGAGATCCCAGATTTACCGAGAGCAACAACGCTCAATGCATGGCAAATGCAACCTGTGCCCTCGCATGGCAAGCATTCTGCGGCGGATTCAGTACCAACGCTATTGACGCTATACTCATGGCGGGCGATAGCTTGTATACACTATCTCGCCGTGAGCATAGCATCACTAACCGGTATCTGTTCCCTGAGGACCTCGCCAGGCACTTCGTGGTTGCACACCATCGTGTTACCATCGAAGAAATTTCTTGTGTTTGGGACGGGTTGTATCCGTTACGAAACGATGGCCTAGATGAGGTGACCTCTTCCTTGTCTTCGGTTTTGGAAGCAGCTATGCCCGGTGACTCCGTTGATAGCGGTTTTTTGTTTACGGGACAGTTGGTGACAGTCGCTTTTTGGCGTTTCCAAGGGCGGCTGTACCTCTTTGATTCCCACGCGGTAAACGAAAACCGTCGTCGAGACATTGATGAGGCGAGAAATAAGGCTAGGGTGTTCGTCTGTAATAGTTTTCGTTCTCTAGCTTCCCTCATTTTGGTGAATTCTGCGTTCGTCGGTGGGCAGTACTCCGTCACAAAAATAAAGTTTTCCGTCAACGAAACTCAAACTGTCCACACGGTCGACTGTTCGGACAATGACTTAACTCAGTTATCAGAATCTGCCTCTGAGACAGTTGTTCAGAAAACCAAATGTCCTGGTAGACCAAAAACAATAAAGCGTGGTCGTCCAAAGCTTTTAGACACGACCCGAGAAGAGCAAGTGGATGCGGCGAAGAAGAAGTATAGGGAGACGCACGCTGACAAACTCCGGGATGACAGTCAACGTTACACTCAAACCCACCCTGAGGTGCACCGAAAGGCTGTTCAGCAATACGACCTGCGTAATCCCGGTGCTTCTGCTGAGAGAGTTCAGATTTTTCGCCTGAAAAATCCGAAAATGTCTGAACTTCGCTATATGCCCGCATCACTTGCTCGGTCCGTAGTCAAAAATGGCCCCATGTCTGTTTGGAATGGGGAGCCACTCAATGAAATACAACCATACAAATTAAAAAAAGTCAGTCTCTGGGTTGACGACGTTTACAGATGTCGTCATTGCCAAGGACGGCTCTTCGAGGAGGAGAAGAATAGAAAGCAATGGTGCTGCGGGGAAGGAGCGTTCAATGTTCTCGACATTCCTCCGTTGCAAGAACGCTTTTATTCCGACCGTCTCTTCCTGGAAAGAGCCCGTGCGTACAACGACCTGTTTGCTTTCTGCGCGCTCGAAGTGTCAGGCGGGTATCGTCATCCCAGTGGTCTTTCTTTTTTCAAGATCGAGGGAAGAATGTACCACCAGGTCTACAATCTGGACGCCCCAGGACAAAAGTTCACCACTCGTTCTGGGAACGTTCAGTTTGTGAATCGGTCCCGCCTGTATATTGACGATGGCGAAGAGCGCCGTAACATTGCGATGGGTAGATCGCTTGATGCCGAGATCATCGACGGTATTGCTGATTTCCTGTCTAGGGAAAATCCTTACATTGAGCATTACCGTCGATTGAGCAACGAGCCTTCCGTAACAGCTCACTTGGCTTTTGAAGTAACAAGCAGGTCTACCCATGGCCCTGTTCTCGGTGATCGGCAAACAGGCGTCGAAGTGCACGCCGTGCTCAGCAATGATGAAAACGACACTGAGCCCCGGAGACTGACTATATGGAAATCCGGTTCCGATAGACCTACATTTATTGATCTTTTACACCCCCTAATGGAACCTTTCCAATATCCCCTACTTTACCCGCAAGGCACTGTGGGATGGCACGTTGGCCGCCTTGATAACAAGGGTGCCAAACTGACTCAATTTAAGTACTCGCGGTGCCTCCTACTTTCTGAACCTCGCTTCTCTCACCTAGGCCGTCTCTCACAAGCTTGGCAGGTTGAGATGTTCGCGAGGTACGAGGAGGAGAAACTGCGTTACATTAAGTTTACGCAGCTGAAGAACACCGATAGTGCCTTGCGGGTGGGGCCGGTTGACGAGATTCGGAATGCACAGCAGGTCTTGAACGACATCGCTCGTGATGAAACCGTCCAAGGCGAGGGTGGGGTGCAGGCAGGAAAAGTCTACCTCCCAAGTTCGTTCACCGGGGGGCCCAGGTACATGAAAGTAAAATACGAAGACGCTATGGCAATCGTATCGCGCCTGGGTTCCCCCACTTTCTTTTTGACGTTTACTTACAACGCGACTTGGGAGGAAAACAAGAAAGCTTGCCCTCGTGGAGGTACTCGCAGTGACCCTAGCACTGCTTGCAGAGTTTTTAGGATCAAACTTCTGGAACTTCTCCGAGACCTGCGCAGCGGAGCAATGTTTGGACGCTCTGTCTATATCGTCTACGTCATCGAGATGCAAATGAGGGGCCTTCCTCACGCCCACATTGTATTCAAGATTGACGGCGACGGACCAGTTCAGGCGTCCGAAATTGACTCCATCATCCGCGCGGATATTCCCTCGGAAGAAGAGGCCGGAGGCCGACTGAGAAAGTTGGTCCTCAAACACATGATCCACGGTCCATGTGGTAATGATCATAGGACTGACTTTCTCTGTTGGGACTCTGCAAAGGGTTACTGCACCAAATACTTCCCCAAGCCCTGCTGTGAAACCACCCACGTCGACGAGAGGGGATTCGTCCAGTACAAGCGAGACCTGGCCAACTGGCAGAGGCAGCCGCTAGGAACAGCTCCAAACTCACCATCTACTTTGACCGGCCTCGTATTTCACTGTTTGACGACCTGACTTATCAGGGGTTCTATGAAACGTTTGTGGTTCATGTCAAGCGCCCAAAAACTGCGGAGATATACGAGCACCCCGATGGCGTCCATTTTATCACTGCCCGACAGCGTGGCGAGAAGGTGTGCAGACTGTTTTGGGTCTCACCGAGCAGGACAGAACAGTATTACCTGCGTATCCTGCTTATGACTGTATCTTGCCGTGGTTATGCCGACCTCCTGTCCCGCGGTGGACCAAACTGCCGCACTTTTCAAGGGGTCGCGCGGCATCTTGGCTTGGTGCAAGACGAACAGGAGTACCACTACGCACTGCGCGAGGCCGCCACTTTCATGACTGGCCCGAGACTTCGTTCTTTCTTTGTGATCCTCTGCAACATGGGGGCTCCTGCAGCTCTCCTGTGGGATGCTTTCCGTGATTCCATCTGCGAGGACCACATAGAGCGTAATCCTCTCGATGTTGAACTGGCCTACAAGCTAGGTCTCATCGATATTGATCGGAGTCTTCGTCGGCAGGGTTCTTGCGTCGCAGATCATGGCCTCCCCGATGTACACGATGACACGACGGAGTTGGGCAGAGAACTGCTCTTACATGGTGAAAATCAACAGAGAGTGTTTGTGGAGGAGTGGGTGCCAAAGCTCTCTGAAGATCAAAACCGCGTATTTGAGTACGTTACCTCCGTTCTCAATGCCCCTGCCAGCGGAACGTCGTCGAAAATCATTTTTCTTGACGGCCCGGGAGGCTATGGGAAGACCACTCTGATTCGTGTCATTCTCGCATACGTGAGAGGTTGTCGTCAGGTTGCACTGGCAGTCGCTAGCTCTGGGATCGCCGCGGGTAACATGCCTGGTGGAACTACAGCTCACAGCATGTTCCGGTTGCCACTCGACTTCGGTGACGGCACCGGCTTTTGGAACATCACCAACGGCTCCCAGCGAGCAGAGCTCATCAGGGCCGCAAGGCTCATTGTCTTTGATGAGGCCCCGATGGCACATCGGTTCGTTTTCGAGGTTCTTGACAGATCCCTGCGAGACCTCATGCGTTCCAGTGAGCTATTCGGTGGTAAAATATTCCTCTGTTGTGGCGACTTTCGCCAGATCGCGCCTGTCGTTGTAAACGCTCGTACTCCAACTGACATTGTTTGTGTCTCACTTCGGGCTTCCCATCTGTGGCAGCATTTCAAAATTTTTGCCCTGACAACAGCTCATCGGACTAGTAGTTCCACAGCCTATTCCGAATTCCTTCTTAGGGTAGGCAACGGAACTGTCAGTTCGACCACTTTCTTGGAGGGACGGAACGAACAAAGTCTAATTCCGCTGCTCGGGATTAGACAAGTGACGTCTTTGACTGATTTGGTCGATTCCGTCTTTCCCGCAAACGTCCTACTCGACTCTGATATGTGTTCGCGACGCGCAATCCTCTCGACTCTGATAGTGAACGTCAAGGAGATCAACGACCACATCTTGAACTCCCTCGACGGTCATCTGTACGAGCTGAGGAGCGCCGACACAGTCGACAGAGAAAACGACGATGGCCTGGATGTCGACGTTCAACTCCTGAACACGGCTACTGGCAAGGGCGTACCAGACCATGTTCTGCGGCTGAAGATCGGTTCTGTTTGCCTCATTATGAGGAACCTCAACATCGCTGAAGGACTCGTCAACGGCACTAAAGTCATCGTAATCGGCATCACCAACCGCCTGATTACAGTGAGACTTCCCGGACAGACGCAACCTATCGGAATTCCCCGGATTACCTTTACTTTTGCGTTTGTCGAGGGTTCGCCGTTACGTGTTCGTCGACGTCAGTTCCCACTGATGTTGGCCTATTGCATGACCGGACACAAGAGCCAAGGTCAGACAATAGATTCAGTCGGTGTTGATTTACGGACCGATTGCTTCACGCACGGGCAACTATACGTCTTGCTCAGTAGGGTCAGACATCCAGACCATATTGTTGTTCTCGTACACCCCGAACGTGTCCGAGATGGAATCGCATACGCAAAGAACATCGTGTATGGCGATCTCCTTCTCTAAACCTGATTTGACATTAGCAGTAGGCTAGGGGATCTGCTTAATCAAAACTCCCCGTTGTGACTTGACAACATCGGCAGTACGATAGGGGGCCTGCCTTATCAAAAGTCCCCGTTGTTGTATAAAGTAGTTAGTAAAGTTTACTAACTTGTACATTTGTAAATAATTGTAAATATGGTTCCGACGTTTCCTGGCCTCCCCGTGGCGGAACTGGATATGCCATAAATTGTATGGCTAACCGACAGGGAAACAAACATTACTTGATCTATTTTCATAAATATATACATGAATATCTACTATAATCTATTTAATTCATATGATACTTTACTATTATCAACTTATTCACTTATCAATCGACATACTAATCAATCTACTCATCTTATACAACAGTTCTCTAATTTGTACATTTGTAAGTAATTGTAAATATGGTTCCAACGTTTCCTGGCCTCCTCGTGGCGGAACTGGATATGCCATACAGTTTGTGGCTAACTGACAGGGAAACAAACATTACTTAATCTATTTTCATAAATATATACGTCATGAATATCTACTATAATCTATTTTCTATTTACATCATATATACATGAATATCTAATATAATCTATTCACATCATATAATACTTTACTATTATCAACTTATTAACCTATCAATGAACATCAATATAAATTTAATTATCTTGTACAAAAGTTTACTAACTTGTACATATTCAAATAATTGCAAATATGGTTCCGACGTTTCCTGGCCTCCTCGTGGCGGAACTGGATATGCCATAAAGTTTATGGCTAACCGACAGGGAAACAAACCTTACTTAATCTATTTTCGTAATTATATACTTGAATATCTACTATAATCTATTTACTTCATATAATACTTTACTATTATCAACTTATTAACTTATCAATCTCCTCTAATAAATTCATGAAATCGTTATTACTTTAATGTCGATTTTTACTATAACGAACCCTTCTCTCCTCATATTATTACTTCCTTTGACCAAAAACTCAATTGTAAAAATACTTGACTAACATACTCACTTACCGCAACTTAAAAAATGATTTTTTTATGAGGTGTTCCGTAAGCTAGAAGTTATCTTACTCAAAGTTAACTTATATAACTTAATATTGACGGTTTCACTTCTTGCTTTGTTACAACTTAACTCTAATCTACTAATGACGACTAACAGCTAGGGGGCCTGGGGGCGGAGCCCCCAGCGAGCCAAAGGCGAGTCATTTATTTATACAGGCAAAGTTAGGGCTGGGCCACATGACCCTTTCTTACACTTAACCTGTACTTTAAAACATAATATAAATATTTTATATAGTGGTTTTATACAGTGACTGGCCTAGTAGATTGGCCAACGTGTGCTGGTTTATCACGAGTAAATACATTGACAATCATCGGTAAATAAGGCGTGGGGTTGGTAGGATATGTAAATAAGTCCGAATGCACCAGCTAAATATACATGGTGTTTGTTTTTGGCTGTTTGGTGTAACGATAGATATCAAAGTTATCAGGAGAGTTCTGTAAACAGAACGTTCTGGGATTTTGTAATAAATTTGTTTAATCTGTTACAGTATTTGATTTACTGTAGTATAAAGGTTCTTTTATATGAGTAGTTTTTTGTAGGTTACATGAATATACCTTTTTACTATATTATTTATAGACTCCACTAAATTTTATTAAATGTTAAAATATGAAATATCTCGAAAATTTAGTAATATGATTGATAAAGGCCATAGTGATATTAGTACGAAAAATTATGACAAATATGAACAACATTTGTCGCGTGATATTCTTGTGGCAGATGCTAGATATTGTGTGGAACACCAACATAACTGTACCATCTAAACATTATCCGAGTTCATGGTAGGAACTACAGTACTTTATCTGACTGTTAATATTAATAGTGTTTTATCTTATATTTCCAACAAAATATAAACGATTTTCAGTTGTACTTTTCATTTATTTTATCGCCTACTCATCATGGAGTACAATTCATTTTTTGTAACAACTAATAAATACGTAAACAAATTTGACTGGCATTTTAATTGTAAAATAAAACTTGAAAGATTGCCTTTTTGAATGAGAATATTATAAAGTTAACTAACTATACAGGGTTTTTTTCAGTTGGTTACTATATTCTTTAATAGTGGATACTTAGTTTGAAGGCCGAAATGTGGCTTCGGTGTGGATATTAATTGCGATTAAAATTTAAACACACTGTACACAGATACAACAATCTGTAAGTAGGAAGAAACTTGAATTTAAAACTCTTAAAATGACTTTGAAAAATCGCTTCCTTACAAATTCCTTATTACTTACACTCATTTATGTCTTAACTATATATAGTTCTACAAAAGTTACATTGTTTGATTTTCATGAAAGGCTAAGAGGTGTGACAAGTAAAGCACAAACGAGAAACAATTTATAATTAACCATTATTGAAAAAAAAATAACTCGCTTTTATCAATGACAGACATAATTTTATATTGTAGGTTAAGATCACTGATCTCTTGATTGGATTCTTCCTGAATTGTCTTCAGGTATTTCTATTCTTGTGTATAGTTCTATATAATAAAAAGTATTTCTTTGTTAATGTTCTGTCAAAGGTATTTTAATGATTTTTAAGTTTCACTGAGACTTGATAAACAGAAATTGTTCCAGGCAAAAACCTATATGTCCTGTAAATAAATCCAAATTATTAAATTAAGGGAAATTCTATTGTCAATTTAATGTAATATGAAAGTATTTTTGCAATATTTTAACAATAATTGCTTTTTCACCACACTATGATGTTTTTGGCTGTATTACATACGTTAATTGGTGGCCGAAAGTTACGTTTTGCTGGCCATGCCAGCTGTCGCCAATTTGGGGACCGAGCAGGTTTTTACAGGCCGGGGCCGCAAAATCAGCTGTCCGCTTACTTACTTAAAACATGAATGCGTTTTAAATACACAATCAAAATCCACGATCATTGCAATATAGAATTGTGTTATTGTCAACGTTGCCTAGCAACTATTTATTTTTATTTTTGCTGATTCCTCAAAAAATTATTTCTTCACATAACCTTAAACTTGTAGTTGTGTTGACGATCAGTGTGCATTATATTATAGTGGTGAATAGTGGTAATAGGGTATAGTGTGGTGAAAAAAAGCGTTCGTACCACGGACCGAAATGGTTTTGCAGCTCTCGATCGATTTAAGTTCTCGACTTCGTCTCGAACTTTAAAACTATCTCGAGCCGGCAAAACCTCATTTTCGGCCCTAGGTACGAAATATACTATTGCTTAACTATTCAAATTCTCCACAATCGTTACATATTTCATATAAACTGTATGTACAATTATATTATATATATCTCAAATTGTAAAGATAAAAATAACAATATCAGTTGACGTCGTTGATTATTTTCATACGACAATATAGTTTGAAATCTGAAACAGATTCTTTCATTGGTTCTATCACTATTATTGTCACATCGTTACATGACTTATTTTTGTATCAATTGAAGCTCGTACATTGTCTTAAAGCTACTAGATCAATATAAATACCTTACCACACACCTTCAGTAAAGCTATGTGCAATATTAGTAAATACTTTAAATTCGGTTGTATGTAGCCTACAAAAAATAAATATGCTAACGAATTTCCAAATAAAAATTTGGAAAATATGTAAAATATAAATGCAAATATCCAAATAAATACTTTTACAATCTCAAGCTGTTAACATACACAATTACTTTGTTTAAAGCGATGCCATCTAAGGACTACTGTCTTGATTGCGTGCTTCATGTTTCAAAGCAGGTTACTCATGTTACTTAGTTATAAGTTTAACTCCTTAACTTTTATCATAAAATAAAGTTGTTTTTAAACGAGCATGCACCGAAGCTTAAATAATAACTATAAGTATTTAATTGATAAATTGTTCATAGTTTATTTAAAAAATGAACTTTCACATGACTTTATATACCATAGAACCTCAATCTGACTTGCGAATGCAGTTTTGTAATAATTTGCCTACTTTCTAGGTTGTTTACATAGAGTCTTCTATCTGGAATTCACCACTTTTTCTGAAGAAATTATTGAGCTTATCTTTGGTGTTTTATTAAGGAACTTTCAACATAAAGTAAGCTTGGAAAGTCAATTGAATTACTTCATTTGTTAAAATGTGGTACAATTAATTAACATGTTTGATGCTTCTTTATTTTAAACTGTGCTGCAGTTCATATAGTACCTATTGTGTTATGTATAGTTATTGATTCTAAATCTCATTAGGTCAATGAGGAAATGTTTGCCTTGTCCACAAGTGGTACACAAACTTTACATCAAACCATGGGCGTTCCATAAAGTACAGTACTTTGTTGTGTCCATATTACCACTTTATGTGTATATACTGTGTGTATACCGCTTTATGTGTATATACTGTGTGTATACAGCTTTATGTACCCTTGTGTACTGCGCCACTGTGTTTACAAAATTGTAATGTTTACTCTAACCACCAATAAATAGATTCGAAAACAAAAGGACATTAAACCGAATAAATGTTGTTAAAAAACCAAAACTTAATAAAACCCAGTCTCCAATTATTAAAATAGATAATGTTTTACGGAAAACCACTTTAAAGTCTCGATCAGAGTGCTTTGACACTCAAAGTCTGTATAGAAACGTTGTATCAAATTTGGTTCAAATTTGTTATCCACCTAAGTGTACTATTGACTTCAACACTGATGTGGTTATTACATCCATAATTTACCAGGTGTAGCAAGCCAGTTTTTACTTCAAGAGATAGTATGTTGGCTATAAGCTTCAAGAAGTTGTCTGTTTTTTTGTGATTTAACATACATGTACTCAAGACATTTCCTATCTTTTGCTTTAAAGTTTACAATATAAACATTGCCTTTTCACTTGGTGGTAAATCGTTTACTAGTATGTTTAGTAATGTGTAGCAATTATATCGATCAGCCATAACAACATTTTGTGTATACAATATATGCCTATATACGA